AGCAAGCAAGATTCGCATGGTTGACTTTGAGATTGCTCAATGGGTTGCTCTGTTACAAGCTTTAACGACTCGATCAGCCGGAAAACCTACTTGAATTCGTATCTCGAGTTTACGTGCACCAACGTATTTCTATGATTGTCTTCATCATTCTTATCTCCATGTCCATCGGACAGAATCAGGCCGGCGATGAAGAAGATAAACAAAAAGATGCCAGGGGTACAACACAAGCGGGGAAACTAAGGTGTCAGAAGAAAAGCATATAAAAAAGGGGTAAGTAAAATTGTCCCTAAACTACTTTGCACTTACAGAAAAAAAAAACCTATAATTAATATTTTATAAAAGTTTAGGGATTGAAGTAAAAATTAAACATTTTTACTATTGTATCACGTCATCAAACTAATGATATTTTACGTTCCAATGATCAAAACTAAAAAAATGGTAATGTAAGTGACTAAACTTAAATTTTAAAATTTGGTGAGTAAAATTATACATATATAAAAGATAAGTGATCATTCCGATAATTTACTTAAAGAATTTTCCAAACAATTTCTACCTAGGGGAGGACAAAATGAAATTTTATTCCTATTGGATATTAAACTTAGAACCTAAAAGATAATGTTAGGTGTCAACTGAGAAATTTTAACCATTGTACCAGAGATTGTTAACATTATTGTCAAGTTAAATAATATGTCATGATTAGAAAATGCCACATACCACAATCTACAAATTGTCAACTTTTTATTCAACGCTTTATTTTTTAAATTAATTATAAAATAAGTGTTAAAATTATATATTTTTTATATTTTAAGTAGGAGTGTTAAAAAATATTTGATTCGGTTGACCCGTCAACCTGCACCTAAAAAAGTCGAGTAATTCTCTAAAAAAATTACTTGACTCGTGATTTTTCTCGGGTAGTTGAGTCTGGGCCAAAAATTTTTTATAACTGAGTACTCGATCTGATCCGATAGTTTTAATATATATATATATATATATATATTAGTTTAAGTTATATTTTTATTTTTAATATTTTTACTTTAAAACTAAATTTAAATCCCTAATTCTTTCTAGGTTTGTATTATGTACTTTTAAGTTTTAATTTTAAAAAAAAATATTTTTATTAATTTGTCAATATAATATTCGAAGGAAAAAATCACCATCAATATTAATATTTTAAATGTTTTCTTTTGGAAATAAACTTTAATATATATATATATATATATATATATATATATTCAAATATTTATCCTTAAAACTAACTCTAAATCACTAATTTTTGTGTATAGATTGTGTGTATCATGAACTTTTAAATTTTATATATTTTCTATGTGATTTATTTTAAAAAAATAAAATAAAAATATATATTAATTGGGTACCCGTGATTCGAAAATGTGGGTACCCGAACTTAATGAGTCGGGTCTATATCCGACAAATATATTACCTGGAGAATTGGGTACCCGTTACTTCAGGTACCCGAAAATGCGGATACCCAAATTTGATCTCCCCTAATTCTAAATGTCTAATTATTTTTCAAAGTATGTATATAACGTTTAAACCCCTAAAAGAAAAAGGGAAAGTATAATTTAAATAATTATTCTGCAATGAAATCTTTAAAAAATACATTTTAATAGTAATCTAATCTGAATCCTCCTATTGTGTTTGGTCCCAAGCCAAAAAACCTCATTTTTACGTTTTTTATTTTCTTTTAGTCATTGATTACTATTTACTACTCGTTTTTCACTTTTACAGTGTAAATTCAAACTTAGCGACCTTCCTACTCAAATCTCGTTTTACACATGCTAGTTGTTTTGATCTCTTTGTAAAAGGAAACTTGAATGCATCCTGTTGTTTTTGTTTTCTGTGTTGTTGATAGCTTGACTTGGGACCCTTTGTTTTCCTAAGCAAACCAACAATATAACCGAGGTCACATCACTGGTTTTCCTGTCCCTATTAATATTTGCCTTTCTCTTTCGAAATGTAAATAATGTGAAGAAGCAATAAGTGTCACTTTTGGTGGTGAATCTGGGTATGTAGCAGTAGGAAGAAACAGTTAGTTTTCGTCCCTTGCTGAAACAACATGACAGGGTATATCTACTCTTTCAGAACACTTTTAGCAGGCTTATAACTAAGTTGTGTAAACTTGTGCTTGGAACTACATTATTGATCCCAGGTTAAAGTACTTGAAGATGAAAGATCCTTTGAAAACCTTCATTTGGGATGTATGAATGGTTGATATAGGAAAAGGGTTGATGTTCAATAGATCTCTATGTTCGTGATGTAGACACCCGTTTTTGTCCGGGTCTTTTTTATTATTATTTAATTTTAATCTATTATTATTATTATTACGTTTATTTAATTATTATTATTAATATATTATATTACATTTTTTGCAGGCCAATCCCGAGGCCCAAAACAGATACAAACCCAACTACAACATTAGACCGAGCAGCCAACCCAGCACCCGATTGAAGCCCGGACCCAAACCGGCCCAAAATCCAGATCCGACCCGATCCAATGTCAACTCTCTAGGGTTTCTGAAACCCTAGAGATAGTCATTGCCACCGCCAGTCCCTGTTACTACCGCCTGTCCACGCTGCCGAAGACAAATCTGCATCAACAGTGACCCGAAATCATATCAAACAACCAAGCAAAATAAAAATAATGAAATCAAGTACAGATGCTATCTCAATGTAATCCCATCGGTAGCAGTTTCAAGGCAAGTCCATCAAATGGCAGGAAAATCAAATCATCAAGCCATCTCACGCATGCAAAAATAAAAAGGGTGAGATGCAATTATTCGGATTCCATTCGAAACTGGAGAGGGTTTTTTAAAAAACATCTACCCAAAACAAAAAAAATACAGAACCAAATACCAGAAAAGAAAAACCATTTGGAAAAATAAAAACAGAAAAGGAAGAAAACCAAGTGAGATCTTACCTTTAGGGAGAGATCTATTCGTTGCTTCCTCACCGGAGTCAGAAGGAGCCACCGTCGAAGGTAAAACCTTTATCTTTATTAGATTTAGGGTTTGAATAAGAGGGGTTTTTGGTTTCTGTGTGGGTATTAAAGAACTGGTTGTCGAAGAGAGGGGAGGGGAAAGGCCAGATGGTGTCTTGGGTAAGGTTTCTCTAGCCATCGCCGCCAGCTGCGACGGTTGTGGCTCCTCTACTTTCTCTCCATGGCGGAGACAGAGGCTGAGAGGGGGAAAAGTTAAGAGCATTGTTTTGCTCTCTGTTTTAAGAGATATGGAAAAATGAGAGAAATAGGGAGATGGCCGGTTTAAGGCCTTGATATTGGCCATCAATGTGACACCGTTTTACCAAGGGTGTATATGCAATTGTGCGTATGGGTTAACTATACGTTAGGTCCCCAATACTTTGTAATCGCATGTTTCAACCATTAAATGAAGTTCATATTTCTTTGATTTCGAGCCTTTATTTTTCATTACTTATGTTTGAGTCCTGTTATTACCTACTATGCTATTCTGGTTATTATTTGATTTTGGTCATAATATTTGCTATTATTTCATTTTTGTCCCTGTGTTATATTTGGGTTTAATTATAATTCGGCCTTCATGTTTGTGATTCATTGTATTTTAGTCCTAAGTTTCATTGTTGGGTTATTTTCATTCCTAGTGTCTGAATTTGTTTAAAATGTAGATTAGGGCTCTGGTATGTTTATATTTTCTGATTAGGTCATTAAAATTTCTATTTTTTAGTTTGAACCCTTCAAATGTCTATATTTTCTATTTATACCCTTTAAGTTTCCATTTTGCTATTTTAGCTATGTAAATTTCTATTGTTGACATTTTAGTCCTCCAGGTTTATGTTTTACTCCCTAAGTTTTTATTTTTGCCATTTTAGTCCCTTTAGTTTATGTTTTTATTATTTTAGTCCTTCAAATTTATGTTAATTTTATTTTAGTCTTGTAAATATTTGTATTTTAATGATTTCATTTTAGTTTGTAATGTTTTTTTTATGCTAGTCATTTATGTATGAATGTATTTTACTTATTTTTATGGTTATGTGTACTATGTAAATAATGTTTTCAATTCTATTTAATGTGATCATGTTATTTTGTATTTTTAATTACATTTATTTCCATTGTATTTTATCCATGGTTGAAATAGTCGAATCGTTTTAATAACGCGAATTTGTAGAATGGGCGTGGAAAGCCTTGCTTGATCGAAGCATTGCAATCCGATACGACATTTGAACAAAATGTGAACTTGAAATAAAATCGATATTATTTTGCTAATTAATTCCTTTATTTTAAGTTAAACAATGTGATGCATATTACTAAATAGTGATTTAACTTATGCAAATGTTGATTATCAATTTTATATTCGATTCGTATTTTTTTACAATATATCGATGAGGGAATATTCTTTTATTGATAAGAAATAGTCGAATTAGCTTTCCCAATAGAGGATTGCTAATTTCGATATTTCCTTTCAAGTTAAAGATTTTTTTTGTAATTAAGTAATTCAAAGAAAATTAATTATAATTAAATAAAAGAATCATCTTTTAATTTTATATTCGATTTGTAATTTTATATCCGTTTTAAATCGAATCTTTGGTTACGCAGATCAATTTTTGTCTTATAAAAATGATTTTCCTTAAAATTATTTCTAAAAGACGTTTTTAGGTTATTCGACCTACCTAACCCAAAGGTCGATGGCGACTCCTTTTTCAATTTAATCCAATTAATCCCAAATTCCCTAATTTTTCAAAATTAAAGTAATAACTGTTTTTAAAATAATATTTAATTGTATTATAAAAAATGGTTATGACACGTGAGGCTCGATGAAAGCCCTGGTTCGGTTATGGGCTTTCGAGCCCCTGATTTTCTGTGTGTCGGCTTGCCACTTTGAGGCTTTATCAAACCAGAACCCCGTAAATGAATCGACCCCACTAGTCTGACACCTCTAAAAACGATCTCACTTGCATTCTCCACGCTATAAGCTAACAGGTACCACTATCTTTTAAGACAGTTAACATTCCTCTATTCTCTACATTACTGCCTACTGACGGCGCCAAATTATCATGAATGGCTACAACCAAGGCAGTTCCTGCTGCTATTTCCATCCTAAAGAGGATGTTATTGGGGTTTGCCCTTTGTGCTTAAACGAGAGGCTTCTTCTTCTAGCTTCAAAGCAAGGCCAACTCTCTTCATCGTCTACCGGAGGCATCCATGGAATTATCCAAGGTTTTCCATTGAAGAAACTACCCATCAACAAGCTCCCAAAGATCTTTGCTTTAGGCTCGTTTCTCAATCGTTTCGAGTTCAAGCATTGGAAATCCGAAAATTCTGATGATTTTGAAGTTTCAACCTGGAGCAGTCAAGAAGGTATGAATATGATTATTACTACCCTTTCTACTTTTTCTCTTTGATTGTTCGTGCAAAAAAAGTATCTTTTTTCTCTAATGCTTTACTTTAATTTCCATCTAGAGAAGAAGAAGCAAAATACATCTAAACATAAGATGAAAATGATGTGCATCACATGCATGCATGTATGTCTCTCTGTGTGAGTTCCTTTTCCGTATATTATTGATTCAAAGATATTTGTGGCAAGAATGTCTTCGAAAAATACTATGATTTTCCAGGGTATTTCAATTCTTTAGATTTATGTGAATTGACTTTTGTTTCTGACCTGTATCTGTTGAATCTACATAAAACTTGGTAAGTCATGCAAATTGCAAACAGAAACCTTTGAGAACTTTCTTGTATTATTCCAGATGTAATCAAATAATCAGCATTTACCATTTCATTAGTTGGAATTATGCTGATCATTCAACTCTCTAGTAATAACAAAAATAATAAAGACATCAAAGATCATACAAAATTCATCTAGATCTGAATCCTTAGAGGGACCCCTTTCATGTCAATTCCCGCTAATCATGTCATCACCATATCAACCGGCTTTCCTGTTACATTTTCATTTTTGAGGCTATATGATGGACCTTGCTTTACTTTGTACTTTGCTCTCACCATTGATGTAGCTGAGTAGATTTTAGGATGTACTTGAACACATATACTTTACCAGTATGGTACTCGTACACGGGTGCATCAGGTACGAGTATGTATCCACATGGCTATATTTAAAGGTCATATACCATGCTTTTTTTACTTGATGTGCATCAGACATAAGTGTCAAACAGGTAACTCTTTACCATATTTACTTTTGGCAGACTCCATCTCAATCAAGTTTGAAGAGAATGGTGTTGCTTCATGGGAAAATGGAGAAGTTAATTCTAAGGTCTCAATTGAGCATTGCAGCAAGCCCTGGAACCCCAACTTGACAAAGGAGCTCACCAAGGAACCAAAGGTGACCAACAATAGCATGATAGAGCATGGGAAACCATGTGCCTCGCTTAGGTGGCGAAAACGGATTGGTCACTTATTCCAGATCATCAAGGGGGACCTCCAGAAAGGCCAATGTGTGCCACATGGGAAGCAAGGTAAATGGGATCAACTTGATGGGGAAGGGCTGGATGAGCACTCTGACAAAGAGGAACAAAGAATAAAGAGTGTTGTTGGATAGAAAGGGACACTAAAAACTTCCACCATACCTATATGTGAGTTGGGGATGTGATTTGTGACTATAAGTTCTCAATTATAATTGAGATGGCAGAGTCAAAATATACTTTTTTATCACCTAAAAGAGCTTTTGGTAAAGTTCATTGGCTTCTTGTACTCTGTTCTTATTTCTGATAAATACAAGTAGCTGTAAAATGATTGTTATACAAAGGAAATATTTGTATATTTTCTCTCCACAACTGTTCTTTGAAGTGAAAGAGGAAATTTTCCATGGCATTTTCAGAAAGTGAGGAACATTTGAAGCATAATTTCACAGGGTCCCCAAGGGCAACATGCCCTTAAAACAGTGGTAAATTGGTGTTACTGTTGTCTTGATGGGATGGAATCTTGTTCCTTGTTCTAATATCTTACTGGTCGAGTTCTATTCTAGAGTGTCATCAAATCCTCTACTGTTCATAACATGATGTTTCATAGTCATCATTGCTCTTGTGGGGGGGGGGGGTTCTGTCCCATTCCACGTTCTAGTCACTGTTATTATGTTATTCAAATTCAAGCGTAAAGTGTCAGATTTTGTAATGAATCTAACTTGTATATGTTCAAAAACATTTCTAAAGTTTACATATATTTGAAAGATCAATCCTTCACGTTGCTATATTTGTATAAAAATGACTAAGTATTAAACACGAATATTTTAAAAGAAAATGTCAGAGCAATGTAAACCTGTTATTGAGCTGGTGCTAAGTGCCCAGGAGGTCCCTTTGTTGAATATGACCCTTCACTAGGGCAATTGGCCCCAACTTCTGACTCTCTAGCAAGGAGACCATTGCACTTGGACCACAATTGATGTTGATAAAAACCCTAAATGGAGTAGACAATGAATGACAAGACATAAATCTTCACCCACCTCCTATGCATTATAAGAGGAAGAAAAATGAAGGAATCGTGGCTACATTTGCTTGAAAGGATATTGTCGCTAGAATTTTCGTTTTCCTTGGCTTGTAAATGTAGTGATACTAAGTTAGGTATAAATCAGCATTGAATATGAATCGAAATTATATATATATATAAAATCTTTTTCTATTTTTTATATATTTAAAAAATATATACATCACACTTAATTATAATATATATTTATTGGTGGGAATAATTTAATCTCGTCGATCATTGGTGATTTCTCTGTGAGAGATGAAAACATAAAAGGGAGATGGGAGTGAAGAAAGAGAAAAAACTAGAGAGATCCCTATCATGTTTGTCTGATGAGTTTTTATGTTGACTCTAGTGTCAGGCTTGGAGTCATCATATTTGTTAGTAGGCTGTTAAATTATACAAATATGATTGTCAATTGTCAGATTTGATTCTGTCAAAAATCACGTTAAAAATTGAGGGTTAATTTCAGACCTAAAGTCATCATGCATGTTATTTGGCTGACATATTATATAAATTTAGCTCTATCAAAGGTCACGTCAAATAATGAGAAGTATGGAATCCAAAGAGGAATCCAAATGAAGGATAGTTCTGAGATTGTGTGGTGTTTATGGAGAACTTTTAGAGGCTATGTTACGAGGATAGAGTCTTTTAAGGGTCTTTATTGATGGAGATTTAATAGTTTTCGAAGAATATTCTCAGAAGATATAACAGTATTGAATATGAATATAATACATTGTTTTTGAAAAGAATAAAAATTCGGGGTAAGAAATTTCTTTTGAAAAGTTTAGTTTAATATTTAAATATTTTGTATTATTGTCGAAATATAATTTTCAGAAGATAAATGATTGTTTTAAATATTATGTTATAAGTTAAAGATATATATTTTTAAATGATATTCAAATTCTACACGAACCAACTTACTTTAGTGGTTAAAGGAATCGTTGTTGTTCTTAGAGGTCATAGGTTCGAGCACTAGCACTTGCAGGGGTGATTGAGCATTCATTGTCCAATTGTTGAGAGTACTTAAAACAAATATTATTTTGTAATCATCTTAGCTTAATAAAAAAATGATATTTAAATTCTTTAATATAATGATATATATATTTTAAATGATTTTTATTTAAAAATAATATAATAGTATTAAAAATGTAAAACCACAAATAATAATCATATATAATTATGTCTTATAATAATTTTAATTTTATAAACTAAAAAATAAATACATCATAAGATAACAAATAAGGATTAAAATTATAACTTTTAACTTTAAAAAGATACTTTTAAAATATAGAAATTGAAAATTTTAACTAGAATTTTAAAATAAAAAAATTCAAACGCATTTTTTTAAAAATTATTTTTTTAATATTATTTATATCTCTAAAAAATACTTTTAATCTTAAAAACATTTTCAAATACAAGGTTAATTTCTGTGAGCTGACAATAAGATTAAGAAAAGGTTAAACTACATGTTTAGTACCCCAAAATCATTTTTCTTCTATTTTGGTCATCCGACTATTTTTTGTTTCAAAAGCATACATAACGTTTAGTTTTGGTTTTATTTTGGTCACCCGCCGTTAAAAATTAACAGAACTGCAGATGTGACATTTTTATTTTATTTTCAATGATGATGTGGCCATTATCTTATGGTGAAACATCAATATCACCGTTTTTTTATAATTTTGAAATAAAAAATAATTGGGTGACTAAAATGGAAAAAAGGTGATAGTTGAGATACTAAACATGTAGTTTACCCTTAAGAAAAACTAGAATTTCTAATCCTAAAACAATTGTGCCATGTGTCCCAAAAAAAAAGTAGTTTGGAGCAAAAACAAGGTTGCTAAATATTATGTTAAATCATTTCAATCACTATTAGGGCCGTAAAAAGCTGACCCGACTGTAAAACTGACTGAAACTGACTCGAGTTACTGTTTTTAACATGCGCTGTAACAATCCGAAACCGACTCGAGTCGGAATTGGTGTTTACCTGAATTTGAGTTGGACCTAAAAATTGTGGATCAAAAACCGACCTACACCCGACCTGAGAACGACCTGAACCTGAATTAAACCGAAAAAATAATACCCGAACCCAACCTGCATATGACTGATATAAACCCGAACCCGAGATTGACCTGGTAAATAACTAATATTACCCGACCTATTTTCAACCCGACATGTGATGAACCTGACCTGTTTTTAACTTAACTTGTAAATGATTCGACTTGTTATTGACTTGATCTTATATTTACCTGACTTGACATTTATCTGGTTTATGACGAAATTATAAGATTTTAATAAAATTATGTGTTTTTGAGTTTATGATATAATTAAAAAATTAATATGATTAATTTTTAAATGTTATAATAAAATATTTATTATGATAATTAAATTAATAAATAGACCTATTAAATAAAATTATTTAATAAAATTATTTAATAAAATTATTTAAATATAAATTATAAAAAACATGATTAATAAAAAATATTGACATTGAACAATGATTAAATGTAAATTAATATAGTTTAATTTACATAAATTATACAGTTTAATTTATGTAAAGAAAAAATAATATTAATAATGCAAGTATTTATTAAGTAATTTATATTAACGTTTTATATTATTAATGCAAATAATTTTGGCAATAAAATGATAATTAATTTGATAATAAATGAATATTGTTATTGATCGTTATTAATTATCTAAAATATAAATATAAATTATACAATTTAATTTTTGTAAAGAAAAATTTTGTAACAATTATAACATAAATAAAACATAATATAAAAGATAAATTTAATTGATAATGATAATTTAAATAACATTTGATATAAAATTTGAATAACATTTGAGTTAATTCAAGTTAAATATACTAAAATGATAAAAAGAGTGTTTTTTTATTTTATAACAAAAATGTTATAAGGCTAAAAGCCTGACTTTGCTATCAGAAATTTCTTCATCGAGCTTTTATCTCGAAATAGCTGCTACCATTGTTAAATTACAGGCAACTTTTAAAGCTACCAACATAACTTGACATGAGTAATTATTTTGAAAAAAATGACAGTTTCAACAATCTATTTAAGTCAGACCAACAAAATAAATTACAAGACAACAACAGACATTAGGCAGCAACAACAGGCATTAGGCAGCAACAGCAGACATCATTTATGCATTAAACAAACATGCAGTCAACGGTAAAGTCAAAGGGAATGCGATGGCCAACAGTGCCAAACATTTCCGACTTTACCAAACCCTTACAATTCAAACATAAAGCCTGCATTGAGATTCAACAAATAATAACCACATAGGATATTGAGAAGAAACTAGAAACATACTCTAGATTGAGGACTAAAAGAGCTCACATCTAAGCCAGAACAACCCCACAAGCTGAGTTTCTTTAGTCGGCTGTGTTTGATGATAAGCTTCTGGTACATAAGGTGCAGTTTATTGTTCAACACATTTGGAACTTCACTGTCAGAATTTTGATCAGAAGGTGGATTCTGAGAATCATGATCGCATATTGTCATCCCACAATCCATAAGTTCAAGAAGAGGTAGTTGAGACGTGGCAAACTGAATTCCACCTGAGAAATGCAGAGAAACATGTTAGTGAATAGGTTTAGAGAAGAATGGGGCATTTACAGGATAAATGCAGCTATGCACAAAACGTATGTATGAGTCTTAGACATGATGATTACTTGAAGTTATGTTGGGACAAAGAACAAGGAGGAGTCTTGACAATGTGTTTGGGAAAACATTGCAAATCATTCCAATGCCACTATCACTGATGCTAGACCTGAAATGAAGAAGCAAGCATCGAGAATATTTAGCCAAAGAATAACTAATAAAAAGTAATCCCTTCAAACCAGCACATATAAACGGAAAAACTAATTAAAGCTGGAGCAAAACATACCCACTTAGATCAAGCAATTCTAATATAGAATAGCTTGAAGCAATAGCAGCAATAGATGCATCGATGATGTCTGAGCCAAGAACAAGTGAAAGCATTCTCAAGCCCCTGAACAATAGACAACCTTTATTAAACTAGTGATTATTTACCCTCTAAATGCAGAGATCCCTGAAACAAAACATGGCATTGCTAGAAAACTGAACGGAGCAAGTCCATTAATCACTATGATTTTTGCCTATAAATTCATAAATTATACATAATTAAAATGAATCAACCTGAATCAACCTGGTCTTTATCTGCTTCGGACCTGAACTGTTTTAACTTGAACTGACATCGATCCGAACTGAAAATGACCTGACCTGAACCCAATCTGGATCTGATGTCAAATCAACTTGAAAATGACCCGAACTGATTTGACATATACCTGACCTGATCCGAGTCAAACCATCAAATTGACCTGACTTGACATGTACCCGATTTTATCCGACCAACCAAGATCCGACTGAAACCTGTCTGATTACATGATTTTACAACATTAATCTTCCATTCACATTTTCGTTAGGTTGGGCCGTTAGAGAACATGCCAAAGGTCTAAGAATTATAGGGTCTACCTTGTTTTAAAGGACAATTGCCTGACTACAAACTTTTAATTCCCTACATTTGTTTTAGGCAAGGATGACAATCCGCACAATTCTATTTTTTTAACCGATTGATCTCAATGGTTAAAATGAAGATTGTTATCTTTAGAAATTTTGGGTTTAAGCACCAGCAATTACATGATATTTGAACGTTCATTGTCAAATGATTGAGAGACTTTAGAACAGATAATACTACTTGTAATCACCCTAAATTAATAAAATAAAATAAATAAGTTCATTAAACTAAAAACATTAAAGAGTAAAAAGTAAATGAACAACATCCTATTACGATTTTAAGAGTCAACATAAAAATCAAAAGCTTTTAAACCAAACAAAAATCTAGATTAGTGAATACTTATAATTTTTGAAATTCGACTTGAAAGTTTATGTAATTCAAACCTTGAAATTAATTTTTTTGAAATCTAGGACTTAATTGGAAAAAATGAAAAGTTTAAGAATCCAACCAGAGGATCACATGAATTATTTTGGAAAAGTTTAAGAATCCAACAAAAGGTTAAACTACACATTTAGTACTTTAACTATTACTTTTATTCTATTTTGATAACCTAATTATTTTTTATTTTTTAAAAATGTCACGCCAATAATTCAGTTACTTTTATAGTGATGGGTGATCACATAACATTAGACATAGTTTTGAAAAAAAGTAATAGTTGTGTGGGTGACCAAATAGAATAAAAGTGATAGGTAAGATACTAAATGTGTAATTTATCCAGAAAAAGAGAAGAAAACATATTTATTAGGAAAGAAAATACACACAAACAGACAGGGAGGCAGACAAAGATATCTCACACAATCCGAGCTGCCAAATAGCAGAGATATCAACGGATGCCCCCACAGAAACAAAAGATACTGCTAGCCGTCTAAAACTTGTGGAAACCCGACATGCCATGTGTAACACACTCGTGTCCACGTGGCATCCCTCGGAAGGCCTTCCAAGATCGCGCGCATCATCAACCCCTTATCCAACAAAATCCCATTTTGTTTTCTGGCTTTGCGACTTCGCTCACTGTCTCTCTCCTTCTTCCCTCTGCCACCAAACGGCTTGTTGACACGCCATGACCGCCATAGCTACTGCTGGTGCTTTCTCTTTGCCAATCTCTATACGAAGATCATGCAATATTACTTATTCTAAAAAGGTATCTTTTTCTGCGTTTTTATGGGATTAGTTGATCTGGGTAGTTGTTGAATTTTGAAGATAATATCATTTGTTTTGTTGTCTTGAGTTTTTCTCCTATTAGAAGCCTTAAAATTTTGGTTTTTTAATCTGTTTTTAAGCTAAACTTATCGGGGTTAATCCCAAATTTTACTCAAGTTGAATGATCCTTATGCACTAGTGGGAGATGAACTTAGGGTAAGTAAATGTATAGGATTTCCAGTAAATTTATGCAGTAAATTCCTTAGCTTCTCAACTCAAATGAGCTTATTGATTTGTCAAATCTTTAGTGGTTTCAACTTTCAACATTTGAAAACTTTGTTCTTTGTTAGTTAGAAGAAAGTCCCAAATCAGTTGATCTATGGCTAATATTTCGAGGTTGATGCAGTTTCAGGCCATTAAAAAGGGGTTTAGGGTTTATGCTGTGTTTGGTGAGGAAAGTAGCTTGGGGGATAAGAAGAGTCAGTGGGGCACTCTCTTTGATGTTGAGGATCCAAGGTCTAAAGTTCCCCAATGTAAAGGGAAGTTCTTAGATGTATATCAGGCACTGGAAGTGGCCAGATACGATATTCAGTACTGCGATTGGCGGGCTCGGCAAGATCTACTCACAATCATGCTTCTTCATGAGAAGGTCTTCGATCTCAATATGATATTTTTCCTTCAATTTCGTGTGTTATTGTTTACAAAATAATTTCTCTGAGTAAATGAGTTTTTGTTTGCTTTGTTATGGTTATAGGTAGTGGAAGTGTTGAATCCTCTAGCTCGTGAGTACAAGTCTATCGGCACCATGAAAAAAGAGCTTGCGGAGTTGCAAGGAGAACTAGCACAAGCTCACAAACAGGTATATGAAATCAGCAGTTAATGAATCTGTGATTCATGTAATTTAATAACAACTCGTATGCACCGACAAGATATTTAAATTGGTTCAATGATAATGCTTCTTTTCTCCTTTTCCAACAAAATAATCGGAGTATGGCTTGAATAAATACAATGGGTATCTATTATAACTGACAAAGGAATAATCAAAAGAGTTCCCTATTTCGTTATTAGCCAATTTTGATTCTTATCTGGGGGAAAACAGGTTCATATATCCGAAGCAAGGGTTGCTACCGCTTTGGATAAACTAGCTTACATGGAGGAATTAGTTAATGATAAGCTGATAGAAGATAGAACTGCAACAGAGTCCAATGTAGCATCATCTTCTAGTACAACAACACAATCTACGGATACTGTGAAGAAGATGCCCCGGAAAATCTTGGATGTGTCGGGTCCGGTTCAACCATATCACCCACGGTTGAAGAATTTTTGGTATCCCGTTGCTTTCTCCACTGATCTGAAAGACGACACTATGGTAAGCTATATTCGGAACTATAATATTGCTTACCATCCAACTCCACAAAATATTGGCACTCTCATTCTACATTACGATGATTGGCATTATTTCTCCATTGATCTTTGGCTTACTATTGCAATTCGAATAGCTTTCATTTCTACAAGAATGTGTTCTTTGATGAGGTGTTTTTTTATTGTCCAGCTAGTTAACATGCATCCTTTTATTGATGTATTTATTGCTTCTCGTTCCAGATTCCAATTGAGTGCTTTGAAGAGCCATGGGTTCTTTTTCGTGGAAAAGATGGGAATCCGGGATGTGTCCAGAACACCTGTGCACATAGAGCATGTCCTCTTCACCTTGGTTCGGTTAATGAGGGTCGTATTCAATGTCCCTATCATGGTTAGTACGAGTCTAGAAATTGTCCATTTTAAAAGCAAGACAGATATCAATGAATGATTTACACCATTTATATGCTCGGAAGACATGGTCCTTCATTGTGTTCAGCAAATAATTGTATAAAATTTTCTAATTCTTGAAACATTTTTTATGTATCAGGCTGGGAATACACGACAGATGGGAAATGTGAAAAAATGCCATCTACGCGTTTACTTAATGTGAAGATAAGATCATTGCCGTGTCTTGAGCAAGAGGGAATGATCTGGATTTGGCCCGGCAATGACCCTCCTACGGAAATCCTTCCTTCCTTACAGCCTCCTTCTGGATTCAAAATTCATGCTGAGGTATGCTTTAAATGTTTTTACGCACGATGTATTTGCAAGAATCACATGAACTTTGTTTAACTGACACAACGAAAACAATGGTAAGCTTTAAGTAAACGTCCAAGCTATCTCACATCATATGCTGATAAATGCCAGATTGTCATGGAACTTCCGGTTGAACACGGGCTACTTTTGGATAACCTTTTGGATCTTGCTCATGCACCGTTTACTCACACTTCCACGTTTGCCAAGGGATGGACTGTTCCAAGGTTTGTTTCTGCAATCAAATTGGCAAATGATTTATCTGTTGTATTTTAGTTTTGAAGCGGAATAGTCTCCATATTAATTTACTCATGTAACTATATGGACAAACAGACAGAAGTCTGGACTCCCGAACATCTTACTTGTGGAAAATTTAGAATTTCATTGCAATGCTTAGGAAAAGAAAACATTAATAAGGATTAGATGTCCCGCGATTCTGAATTGTTTTGATCGATGATTCCTCTAAATATCTTGTGCGGCTGTAGTACAGATGGACAAGATACTAATAACTAATAGTTCGTATGACTTTGAGTAAATTTTCGTTGTGTGTGTAATCTGGACATTGCAGTTTGGTGAAGTTCTTGACGCCTGCATCAGGTCTCCAAGGATATTGGGACCCTTATCCCATCGATATGGAATTTCGGCCACCTTGTATGGTGCTATCGACCATCGGCATATCAAAGCCGGGAAAACTGGAAGGACAAAGTACAAAGGAATGCACAACACACCTTCACCAGCTTCATGTATGCATACCTTCATCAAGAAATAAGACAAGACTATTATATAGAATGTCACTAGATTTTGCTCCCGTGTTGAAGCACATTCCTTTTATGCATTATTTATGGAGGTATTTCGCAGAACAGGTAAAAAAAATCTTTAATGTTGACTCTGTATTATCGTTTACCGGTTTTTGAATATCAGCCATCTCTGATATCTGTCAAATGTGCTTCTCACTATGGTCCTGTTTTATATTAATGATGAATACAGGTCTTGAATGAGGATCTGCGACTTGTAATCGGCCAGCAAGAACGAATGATTAACGGGGCAAACATCTGGAATTTGCCAGTCAACTATGATAAGCTAGGAGTGAGGTACAGATTATGGAGAAAAGCTGTTGAACAGGGAGCTAAACAATTACCCTTCAGCAAGCCAATGTAAATTCCAACTCTAGCAACTCATCAGCCCTTCACGCATTGTCTGGACCAACTCTCGACAGTTGACACTTTCGAACATGATTAATAAGCTATCTACCAAAAGGGAAGATACATTTTTTAAGGTTTGACGTTGGTAGGGGGGAGAAGCATGAAGATTCAGCAGAAACTGTGTAATAATCCCACAGATGCAAGTTGGTCTCTACAGACATGCTTTTGTATAACAATGGAGACTGTACACTGATTTTATAGTTTTTGTGTATCATTATTATTTTTTTCTCTATTGGTAACCCGAACCGGAGAGCTGATTGGAAAATTTTGGCCTTAGAACATGGAAGCCATTGTTGTTAATCTCGTCCTGCAGTAAAGATCTTTATATTGTATCATATTAACTGATTTGTAATTCAATTCTCCAACACAAGCTTCTACCCCAAGGCTCAAAATATGATATAAGGATTTTGATTAGGTCTAATGTTCTTTTTGGCATTGAGATTAAAATAAATAGGCGAACCACATGTGACAGGATGAACCCGAATGTGTGCTCCAAACAATATTGAATGCGTATTCAGAATAATCGTTGGCAAAATAAATAGTAAATAGGTAAACGACGAGTTATAGACCAATGAGCAAGGGCATGGGCACCGACATAATCAGTACACCAGACAGAATGAACCCGAATGTGAGGGTGTCACACAGCAATCGACAGGTCTCATCGAGATGAAAACTTACTACAGATAAGACAGCGATTAACCAACGACATTAGCAGCGTAACTCTCGACAACATAAGCCTTACAGGAACGACAAACAGCTAAAGTGTGTAGCAAATCATACATTCTCAAACTGCACATGGAAGTATATAGAAATGACACTCAAACAACCCCAGCTTAGATTCCTTAAATACAAATGAAGTTTTTGTATCAGTTGCTATACGAACCTACACATGACAAGCTACTGATTCCTGGCATGAAAACACCTTAGCATGTGGGCATATATACGAATATTAGAAAACAAAACATCGGATTTTATAACTATACCTAAGGACTCCAGCGTATTTCTCCGATCACCAGAAACTGAAAGGTAAAATAAAAACTCCAAAAAGGAAAGTCATACGGGTTTCCAAACCGTCAACACTTGAAACATATCCAGCATCAGTTCTTTGTCTGCCTGCCTGAAAAAGTTATTAATTTCTTCTCTAACATCGTAAATCTTGGCAAACTCAAACAAGTACGTCATGCACCCTTTCTTCAGCTTGGTTAATTGGTAAAGCCAAGCCTCCTGCAGCCTCTCGAGGACATTCTGCGAGTTTATGTCTTCTAACAGGCTTTCCTCGCAAGCATCTTTTAAATCTACAATGTCGTATTTATTTGCCGCCCCCAGTAATGCCAGTCGATGCTTCCAAAAGTCTTCTTGCTGTATCGTTCCATACAAGTAACTGAGAAGGACCGAGCAGGATTCCAGTGACATGTCCTCTATATGGATTGTGGATGACGC